AGGCGACGCTTTTCACCACCTGCGACTTGTTGCAAACCTTCTGGAAGTGGAAAGCTGTCTTGCACAGGGACCGTGTACACCGCCACCATAAAGTAGGTCGGCCGTCCCCGCTGGTCAATCCCCTTCTTGTGAGGCCCGCTCAAGTCTATACTCAGAGTATAGGATTCAGGATGTTGTAGCCGACGCCTTGGTCGATCTCTCCCTGCACCTTCAAGACAAACTGCACAATCTCGCCTAAAAGGCTTATGTCCATTTGAAACATGCAGTTGCCACTCTTTGATTTGTCTTTGTTCCACCGCAGACAGCGCACATACTGCAGGAGTCTGCGTGTTGACCCTGTTGATGCCCTTCACCAAGAGGTTCTTCAAGCCCGGTGCCCATGACGCCAAAGAACTCGAAAGTTCCATGCGCTTATTGAGTTCTGAGGGCCATTCCTTGGAAGATCCCCTTGACATCAATCCTTGTAGGTCAAAAAGTTCTTTCATTGATGTCAAAACCGTAGTCGGTTTGTTCGTTTGATGTCCAAGTGCACCTTGATGGAAACTGATCCTTCGCAAGTGGCATTTCTTCACCATCACCTCAGTCTCAGGCCATGCCAGGAAGCTTGGAAAGCCATTCCAACCAGGGATCTTCTCTTTAATGTCCACAGGTGGTTGCTTCCACTGTTCAGGATCTTGTGGTTGTTCCAAGGTGATCTCCAAGTTCTGGTTCGCCTCATAGGCTTGCACTGCCAGCCAGAGCGTCCTCATCCAGAGCAAGTTGTCATTGCAGACCAGCTTGAGCTCCTCTTCCGTGAGGCCATTTCTGCCAAACCGTTCACTGCCATGTCTTGCCCGAACGATCTGTGGTCCATCATCACCTTCAAGAGATCGTAGTCGGCAAACGCTCACAGACCTGCATGGTGGTCCAGCAAGAAGAACATCGATCCTGCCGCTCCTCGCCAGTTGTTCCAGCCACCCATACAAATGGCCATTTCGAAGGTCAGCCCCCTTCGCCAGCTCAATGCAGATGATGACAACACCATTTTTCTCCTGTGCCATCCAGAACTTTGGATCATCTCCTGAAAAGAGATGCACCACCAAGGTTTTTGCGCGTTGAACTTTTCGTCGATGATGTCTGTTGAAGACCACTTGGTTCATGTCGACCTCAGCAAAGCCTGGAATTTCCTTTGCCAGATCTGCAGGCACCTCAGGAAAAATTGACTTGAGTCTCTTGACTATCTCCACTTCTGGACACGCTTTTGGCAGTTCCAAGTTTGGTCTAATGGCTGCCAGTTTCATCTGTGTCTCCCGTCGTTGATGATCTTCGACCTGTTGAAGGATGTCTACCCCTTCTCGCCGAGGCAACGTTGGACACCCCTGATCGAGCCGCACTGGTAGTTGAGCTCCATCTGGTGAGTTGATCTTACAGCCAGAGCCTGTCCACTTCACCTCATAGCCCAGCCTTGTCAATGCTGCCATAGGAATGATCATCTGGACGTCATGGAGTGTCAACAAAGACCCTGTCACCGCATCTTGTTTCAGTTCTGCGGTTCCTGACGCCAAAGCGACTTGAACTGGTTCTCCAAGATCCCATTCTTCTCGAGATTTGGCCTTTCTCAAAACGTGAGTGGCCCCACCATCGATCAAAACCCTTTGATTCTTGCCCATGTCAATCTTCCGGAGGTTCACCGTCTTGACATGGCGATATGCTGTTGAGGAGGATTCCGGGGTTTTAAGAGTCTTTATCAACGATGATACCTCAGTTACCAGAGTCGAAGTCTCCCCCGTACCAGCACCTGATGTTCCTTTAGAGTCAGCTGGTACTTCTTTTCCTCCATCAGTTTCAACTTTCTTCACATTCTTTTGATCATCTTTGGATCCTGCTGAGTTGCCCTTCTGGTCATCTCTGTTGGCTTTGCCACTTTTACCCTTGTAGCCATAGCTTTTTCCACCCTGTTTTCCGGAGCTTTTTCCATCACCACCACCGGCACCACTCCCCCCGGCTGGAGAACCTTTTGAAGCTCCAGTCGTAGTGTTGCTCTTGTCCTCCTTGGTTGGAGAGTTGTATGGGCAATCCGGTTTCTTGTGGTTCGTTGCGCCACAAGTGTAGCAGTGGTATTTGCCATCTTCATGCGCTGGATGTTGGAACTTGCATTGTGCTCCTTGTCGACATCCTTGATCTGACTTCCAGAAGCGGCATACAGGTTGTGCTGGACTACCAGCTTTGTTATCCTTCAGGGTTTTCACTGCAGGGCTTCCTTGACCTTTTCCATGCGTTTCTTGACTACCCATGGCAAGTTCAACTTCTGCTAGAAGCATCTGATGAAGTTGCTTGACCGTGGCAGCTGTGGGCTTTGTGTCAACTTGTGCCCCCATTCGAAAAGCACTGAGGCGGAAGTTCGCCTGAGGATTCCCCTGTAACAACTTTGACATGATTTTGTCAAGCGCACCTACCATCAATGTAGGGTCTGGAACTGTTGCACCCAGCTCTTCAGCTCGTGAGTGATGCCTTTGCCACATTCTCAAAGACGTGGAAGCTTCCAGGTACGTTCCAGCAGGTTGTGTTGTTGTGAGAGCTTGCAAAGTGTTTTGTCGTTCACCCAAGCCCCCTGGTTGGTAGACCTTCATCACCTTGAAGATGATCTGAGCAGCCCCAAGCTGGCGATTTGCAATCATCTCAGCAGCCAGAGTCTTTGGAAGGGCCTGCATGAGCAAAGACGTCACCCTCTGCTCCAACCTCGTAAACCCTTTTGGCAATTCCTCAACTGTAGGAGGTTGCACATTGAGTCGAGTGATGGGGTCACTTCCCAACCATTGTTGATAACGTTGAGTGGTCATGGTCACCAAAGTATCCCACCACCACATTGCACGGTGACTGACATCAGCAATTTGTGGACGGATTTGGGCCATCCAGTCACCTGCTTCAAGACCTTGATTTTTCCCTCCCAATTCCGGGAGCTTCGGCAGAGTGATGGTCACCGGCTTGAGCTCTTCCTCACGAGGCCGATCATCTTGAACTCCACCACCCAAGGAACTTCTTGGGTCACCAATTCCACCTCCTTGATGTTGACCTCCACCTTGACCAAGATTCCCAAACTGGCCTCCTTGATATCCAAGTTGGTTTCCAGCCATAGACGGATCTTGTTGATGAAGATATGGATTCTCACTGTTCACCTGGATCCAGTCGCGCATGTTGACGTCATTGCAAGCTTGACGAAGATGCCATTGAGCTCCCGGCGGATCAGCACTTGGAGGTCCCACTCTTTGAAATGGTTGAGATCCATATGCACCCAAAGGTTCTTGACCAGGTAGTCGTCGCATAGTCAAAGCTTCGCGAAGATCCCTGAGTTCTTGCTCAAGTCGTTGAACCCTTTCCGCTTCGGGATCAGGTACTTGTTGGATTCCTCCTCTTCTGCTATTCCAGAAGCCATGTACCTCTCCATCACCTTGTTGAACACCAACACGTACTGCTTGAGGTCCAAGCCACTTGTTCACCGTGCTCCTCATATCCCCCAAAAAGCATTGGTGGCACCGGAGGCAATGGCGGCGGCATAGGATCCTTCTCCACCTTGTCAATGGGCGGTGGTCCATCTGGAAGTTGAGTTCCACCAGGAGTGACTTTGGCCACGTCTTTGGTCTGGCGGTTTGTAGGTGTTGTTGGAGTCGCCCTTGAAGGAATCGATTCCCAACTCGAAGTATCTAATTCATCACGTTGTTGATCTTGTTGAGCATGTTGACCTTGTTGTCCATGAGAAGAAGGCTGGTTCTTGTCCATCGCATCCAACCTTTTGCGAAGCTCCTCATTTTCTTGCATCAACTGCTGCACCAACAACGAACTCAAATCTTGCTCCAACGTTGAACCTGTCTGGTCTTTCGGTTGGATTTTCTTGGGTTCCGCACGGAGTTCTTTTCCTTGCAGATGGTCTTTGGCACGATCTTCACCTCTAGACCTACTTTGATCGTTCCGATGACGGTCTCCAGAAAGTCCACGTGAGTCTCGATCGTTTCCATGACGACTTCCTCCACGTTGTGGATCTTTCGGACTTTGGGCCCTTCCACGTTGCAGAGCTGAGACATCACCATGTGAACCTCTTAGAACATCACCCAGAAGATCCAGAGAACGTTGCCTTTGTCCAGGAGGTTCCCTTTCCCTTCCGTCTCGATCTTGCCGTAGAGGTCCTTGAGAACGAAGTCTATCACCTTGTCGTTCTCCCTGATCGTTTCCCCCTTGACCTTTCCCTCGATGTCCTTCACCACCAAGAGGGCCAAGAAGATCTACTTGAGGAATTCCTGCACATGAGGATTGCTGCGCCAGGTCCTCATCAAAGTCAAAGAGATTGAAGTTCGAAGCTTCTTCCTCCATCCTGAACACCTGAGTGCCCTGTGGTCCTGGAGTGTGAGGCTCCCAGCTGCTAGGTGTCTCAAATGCCACAGCTGGCATTCTGCCTTGACTTCTCAGCAGTCCCCCACCGCTGCCCATCGCTCGAGGAAGCCCCTGCACCGGTCTTGGTGTTTCATCTCCATCCCAATCATCGCTGGTACTGGAGGTAGGCTTTCTGGAGTTACCCGGACTGGCGGTAGGTTGGCTGGTCTCAGCCTGTCCACCATTGCTGCCTCTTGTACTCCTTGGGACCAAAAAGGGTTCACCGGCTCACCTTCATTCAAGTGAAGACGCCCTTCTCGGTGTCCTGGAACACTTCTACCTCGTCGATGCGCCATGTTTCAGCGACGAGAGGCACGGTTTGGGCTCATAACCTGCTTGCGGAGCAGCGTGAGCACCTGTTTTTCTTGGGCTAAAAGAAGCCTGCAGCAAGAAGTGGTTGTTACTCACTGCAGTCTTAGTTTGTAGTACAGATACTACACTTGTTCATAGCCATAAGGCCTGTTTCTGAAAACCCTTTTGCACAGACAAACCCAAACCTCCAATTTCTAAGGCTTCAAAAACGCTTCAAGGGCTCATTCTCGATCTTGCAGCTACTGATGCAGTACCACATGTGAAATAAGAACATGGATGCGGTCCTGTTGCGTCGTTACTTCCTTGATCTGCCTGTGCCAATGGATCAACGCAACTTTCAAACCTTAGATCCACCAGGTGATAGAGCAGTGAAATCCACTGTTAGCTTTGGGGGTTCTGGAATAAATCCAAAACTATGACTGCAATAAAAAAGACGTTGTCTTTGTATCCATTCCACCACTAGTTGGGTGCTACAAACGACCAAGTCTGTGTGCGCAATCAAGTGTTTCAGCGTGACACACAGCGCCAAGACACGTTGCACAATATCTTTGTCCTTTGAGGCAGCTTCAAGGTTGGCAAAGTTGTCCTAGCAGCCACTTTGAAGTGTGCAGAAATACTGTTGGTCAACCCACCGGTTAGCAAAACAAGGAAGTAAGAATGTGCCAAACCATGCAGTTCTTGTTTATTTATCTTGAGTCTTTCGGCATTTTTAGGAACCTTTTCCAAGCAACAAGAGGTACGCTCTCTCCGATGTCCTGAGGGATGTACAAAACAGTGCTGCCTTTCCCTTGATGAGTCATGGCAGTCACGGTGAGCATGAAGTTCTGAACTTGGGAGGTGAACTCCTGCCGGCTCAGACGTCCAAAGACGCCTGAAAAAGGGGAAAAAAAAACTAGACGACGGATGGCCCGAGAGCGTAGAGGAACATAGTGAGAGGTACAAGTATGAAGATCTTATAGCATGGAACAAAAATATAGATATATACGATGATGCCTAAAATGAAGACACATGGTGCAGACATGTTGTGAAAAGTAGGTCAGGTACATATGAAGAAATTGAAGGAGAAAGGAAAGAAAGATGAAATGAAGGAGACACAGGAAGAAGAATTAAGACATACATTTTTGCGTACAAGCATGCTCATACATACAAACATGCCTCACACACACAACTGTGATTTTACACACAGATTCTTTACCACACCAACACTTTTATACACAATCGCTTTTACGCACAAACACTGTTCCACACAAACACTTTTACACACAGACGCTTTTACACACACACTTTTGCACACAAACACGTTTACACACAAACACTTTTACACACAAACACTTTTACACACAAACGCTTTGACACACAGGCCCTTTTACACACAAACACTTTTACACACAAACGCTTTTACACACAGACGCTTTGACACACAGGCCCTTTTACACACAAACACTTTTACACGCAGACACTTTGACACACAAACACTTTAACACACAAACACACAAATAATTTCGCCTACAACCCCTTTTACACGCCGGTGCTTTTACACACAGACACTTTTGCACACAAACCCTTTACACACAAACCCCTTTCACACACAAACACGTACGCTTACACACAAACGCTTTTACACACAGATTCTTTACCACACCAACACTTTTATACACAATCGCTTTTACGCACAAACACTGTTACACACAAACACTTTTACACCTTTTACACACAAACCCTTTTACACACAAACACGTTTACACACAATCGTTTTACACACAACCGTTTTACACACATACTTTTACACACAGACGCTTTTACACACAGACCATTTCGCACACAAACACTTTTACACACAAACACTTTTACACACAGACGCTTTTACACACAAACGCTTTGACACACAGACGCTTTTACACACAAACACTTTTACACACAAACGCTTTGACACACAGGCCCTTTTACACACAAACACTTTTACACACAGACGCTTTTACACACAGACGCTTTGACACACAGGCCCTTTCACACACAAACACTTTTAACACTCGAACCTCATTTCGCGCGAAAGGGCTACGGCCGGACCAACCAAACTCGCAAAAAACCCCAGTTTTTGACACTCGAGCCTCTTTTCATGCGAAAAGGTTGCCGCGGAGGATGTAAAATCGCGAAAAACCTCCAGTTTTTGACACTCGAACCTCATTTCGTGCGAAAGGGTTGCCGCGGAGGATGTAAAATCGCGAAAATCTTGCAGTTTTTGACACTCGAACCTCATTTCGTGCGAAAGGGTGGCCATGTCGTGGCGCCTCGTCGGCACTGCCTGCGGCCTTAAGAGAGAAAAGAAAAAGAAGCAGAGAGACTGTGACAGAGGGCGAGAGAGAGAGAGAGAGAGAAAGAGAGAGAGAGAGAGACAGGATGAAGATGTGAAGATGTGAAGATGTGAAGATGTGAGTTTGTGAAGGTAAGAAGATGTGAAGATGTGAAGGTGAAGAGCGAGAGAGAAAGAAGATGTGTGAAGATGTGTGAAGATGTGTGAAGATGTGTGAAGATGTGTGAAGATGCAGATGTAAGGATGTGAAGATGTGAAGATGAGAAGATGTGAAGATGTGAAGATGTGAAGGCAAGAAGATGTGAAGATGAGAAGATGTGAAGATGAGAAGATGTGAGTATGTGAACAGGATGTGGTGTGAACATGTGAAAATGTATCGCAGACCTCCACTTTTAGAAGAAGCCTTGGCTCAGACGCTCTCGGGAACAACTGCATCTGATGCTTAGTAGGAGAGGGAATGGGATGGAATGGGATGATGAAGAAGAGTTATGGAATGTTATGGCTTGGACCATTCCCCTATTCTATTCCCAACTAAGCAGCTCCTTTCGCACATTGTCTGGCCAACCATGATCGGCCAAAGCGACCTTGTCGAATCAAGTCAAGCAGCATAGCACATCGAGTGTGGCTGAAAATGGCGGATCATTAGCCATAAAATTACAACATTAATAATAGGGAATATGATGATACACTATCAAATTTAGGGGTTACCAATTTTCATACAAACCTAAACCTATAGAACATGTAAAGCGGCATGCTATAGCAGGCAGGTTGCAGGCACGTAGATGTTATTCATCTGGCTGAGAAGCGAATCCAATAGGGGACCTGCCATGGACTCATGATGTGTGCCGATGAGCGATGGAAGAAGCGACGGACAAGCTGTGTCTCGTTAGATGCCAAGCCAAAAAACAAAAAGAACCTCAGAGAAGCTCTCTCTGTGCAGCCCGAAACCTCGAGAGCATCCGAACAGGACTTGCTCATTGAGGTTCGACGAAGTGATCGGCTGATCATCTTCCCTCTTGAAGAAGTAGCAAAACTCCTTCACAGCTCCTGAATGTTGTGGGGAAGCCTTCTGCAAGATGGAGATCATCTAGGCTTGCTGCAACTCTTGGATAGATTGCGGGAAAGGTACAGTAAGTGATGCAGAAAAGCCAAAGCAGTAAAACCAGAAAGCAAATGAACGCAAGATATCCTTTGCAAGAGCTAATAATTCTGGATATATAAATCACAATAACTCCCTATGCTGACATGGAGGATTCCTAAAATCGGGTACCAGGTACCGCCAAATCATTCATTTATAGATAGATGTTCCATTATAAACCATCCAGTTTGGGTATCCCACATTTTAAGGAACCCCCAAATAAAGTTATTTGGGATAGTTACCCCAACTAACCATGATTTCACCTGTCCAACGAAATTGTGCGCGCTGGCACAGCGGTCTCCTGTTCTGATTGGCGCTGGCAAGCGATCTTCCGTGCGGCTCTCTGACGCAGCAGTCCTCTTTTTTGTGGTGGCAGGTCAAGGCGGTGCATGAGTTGACACCAACATCACACTGAATCAACATACTGTATATACTGTATATCCATGTATCCATATTCGCTAGAGTGGGTATGTACATACTATATATATATATATACATATTTGGATACAATAGTGCCTGTATATCTTTTTGGGTTTTTTTGGGCATGCCATGGCATGCCATGGCATGCCATGCATGGTCATCCAGTCCTGGAAAGTGTGGCCTGTACGATGCGCTTCGTATCTTCTTTTTGCTCGATCCAAGCGAACATGGATCTGGCCTCGGGTTCCTCTAACCACGCCGCGGCCTGAGGAAACAGGACAGAGAAACAGACTTTGCAAGTCGACTGACAATAAAAAACTTTCAATGTCACAGGATCAACACGGTTCATTTCCAAGTTTCAGCCACTGAACAAAGGATCACAAGGTCACAAGGTGTCAAACATTATAAAATACCTACCCGTTTCAGCATAGAGATGGAGTCATCAGGATGCCAAATTCTTGACATCATTTTACATCATGAAAACCTTCTCCATATCTTCAACACATCATCTGCGCATCATTTCATACATCTGGAATATCAATCTGTGATATTTATTCAAGAAAAAACAACAAAAATCTGTATAAAGACCATATCTCTTCCATATTTCTTGGTGCAAAAACCATCAAAAACCATATCTTTTCCATATGTTCTTATTTTTGTTGCCGATGGTCAAGTCATTTCCATTCATTTCCCATCCACCGTCACCGTCTGGATCTGCGGCCTCCATGATCTCCGGCTCCGTGAGATCGGAGCTGTCGAAGCCTTCGAGCTGCGCCAGCCGCAGGGAGAAGAAGGTGCGGACTGCATCCTACGCCGACGCCGACGGGGGACCTAAGTAAGGGACCTAAGGGGACCTGACAACGGGGGACAAAGGGGGAGCCGAAAAAAACAAAGTGAAACAGTTAGGGAGAGCCGGGAGATTGAGGGGAAACCTTATGCCATCAGATTTTGGCCCAAGTTGTATGATGACAAGTATCTTAGGTGGGCAACGATCATTTGGCATCCCTGAACTGTAAGGCAAGTGAAGATGTTGCCTGAAGCTTGGGGGAAAATTCTATGAGCGAATGGAATCGTTTGTGTTTTCCACAGCTCAAGCAGATCAGCAGCTCTTTATCAACTGGATACATGTTACATGTAGCCAGGGCGTCATATCCTTGGCCAAATGCGACATATCATGACAATCCAGGACGGAAGAAAGACTGAAAGGAACGTGGCAGGAGCGTCTTAAAGTTTCTGTTAATTAAAGTATGTGTTTTGCTCGCAAATCAACGAAACTGACTCAGCTCCTGGGACAGATGCTCCATCGCTCCTACAGAGGGCAAGGAGCCAGATATCACAACGCCGACAATCCTTCTAAGAACCTTGAGAAGGATTCATGAACCAATCAGTGAAAGACTTATGAAGACCCTGCCACACTGTCAGCGGCCTTGTCCCTCCACTACTCTCCACTAGTCTATGCTTCGTGAATTGCATCTGAAGGCCGGCCTGCTTTCTCCTCTCGAGGTCTCTTCCAAATGCACTGCGATGTGAAACTAGAAATGTTTGCAATTCCAAGAACTCATTGGCTATCTATGTAGTTTGAAGGTAAGGTCCATGTTGCTTGGATTGGCTTATGCGAATTGTTCTGGGATGTTTGGCCCTTCCAATGTTGCCGCCATGGATTTCATCTGAGAACCTGTACAAGCAAAGTGGTAGCTGGTATCAAAATGTATGAAATTCAGTGAAATGTCTTATCTTTGACTTGCATACAAAATCATGCGGTTAAAGCAAGAATAGTAAACCATCCCCAAAATCAGCATAAATGGATGCTATAAACCATCGAAATATGGATATACCAACATTATAGGATTTAGAGACGCGTGATTTCAATAGCCAAAGATACTGGTTCACCAGTACCACGATCTAGACTCAGCTGGTGGCCAAAAGGTGCAGCAGTGCAGCGGACGTCTATCACGCACCATGAATCGAGCTGATGGCAACCCCAACTGCACTATGGCACCATGACACTGGATGGCACTGGGCCGCCCAGGCCCTGACCTGTACCAACTGTGGCAGGAAATCATTCACTTTGCGGCGAATCCACGTCATCCACCGGAAAGCCTGTGACCAAGCTGTGGCCGTCTTGCTATCCTTCTGAATACAAAATATATATATAAATGTATTTGAATTCGCCCAACAAAGAGATCCAATACTCTCACAGATTCTACATATTCTGGGCAAAAGAACAGAAATTTGACAGTCCTCCAAATTGATCTGCATGCTTTTTTGGATTTTTATGTCATGTTTCATCAAGTGTTGACAGGCACAAAACTGAGGGAACCGGCAGATGGTGAATGGGTTGCCACACCCTGGCCTCACACCTTCGCTCTTATGCAGTTGTGACGGCACAACGGAAAGGTAAGGTGCCGAAAACGCTGCAGAGCCCAAGCAGCAGAAATTGGGCTCAAGAAAATAACGGTCAATCAGAACAAATATATCAAATATGCATAGAAAACGATTTGTTCATATCATGTTTGTACACACTTTAGTTACTTTCTGCACGTGTAATTTCATATGACATCACATAAAGAGTTGCCTTCAGTGCGGCTTCACCATACATCGGAGCCAAATGGGTATGGGTCAAAACCCTGTATCCCTAACATCAAAATAGTTGGTTACACTTGCCACCCAAGAAAAGAAAGCCACCATACAGCCAGAAATACACATTTGTAGAGGCATTAGGCATCTTCTCTGTCTAGACTTAAAGGTAGACCTCTGCCCATATGAACATCTACGACCTGATATGGCATGTGATTGAATGTAACATACCCATCTCTAGATGGGGCCTATGAATTTTTCTTGCCCCATACCTCCCTATACATCCCTATACCTGCCTATATTTGCCTCCATGTATTGCACCATAAGGATTAGTTATATATGCATACGTACATACATGTTGCGATGTGATTTTTGCTCAGTATATACTGCATCAATGGATATACATATGTACAAAACGAACATGTATGTATAGATACACTGTATGTACAAATATAAATCCACTTCTACACATTTCATATTGTATATAACGGAATATATTTAATAATAATAATAAATAATAATAATATTTTAAAAAAAACAATATGAAATAATAAAATAATAATAATAATCTATATTGAAAAAACATTAATAGTAATAAATAATAGCAATAATAGTAATAATCAAAAACAGCTGAATATTTTAAAATGTGCTAATATACTAAAAAAATAGTAATATATAATATGTAGTAATATATAATTAAATTATATATATTCAAAAAATAGTTGCAACTATTAAAAAATAATATATATATATAATACAAAAAAAAACATAGAACAATATATATATAATAATACAATATATTAATATACAATAATATATAAGAATATATAATATCTAAAAATGTATAATAATGTATACTATAATAAATATAATAATAATATATAATAATATATAATAATACGTAATAATATATAATAATACATAATAATACATATTAATATATAATAATAAATAATAATTAATGATAATATATAATAATATATAATAATACATAATAATATATAACAATACATAATAAGATATAATAATAAATAATAACATATAATAACATATAATAATATAAAGTAATATTTAATAATATTTAGTAATAAAAAATACAAATTAATAATATATATAATATATGATAGTATATAATAATACATCATAATATAAAATAATAATTTATATAGTAAAAAATAAAAAATAAAAAAGCATAAAATAGTATATAAAAATAAACAGAAATATGCAATACATATATATATATGATAATATATGATAATATAAAATTATATAAAATAATATATAATGAAATAAAACATAATATACAATAATATAAAGTAACTTAAAATATGAAATCATATCATACAATAATGAAAAAAACAATACATATATAACAATAACTAATATGAAATATATTATAAATGATAAATAGTATGTAATAGTATCAAATATTATTTAATAGTATAATGGTATATAATAGTATATAGTATATATTAGTATATAATAGTATGTAACAGTGTATAATAGTATATAATAGTATATAATAGCAAATAATAGTATATAATAGTATATACTAGTATATAATAGTGTATAATAGTATATGATAGTATATGATAGTATATGATAGTATATAATAGTATATAACAGTGCATAATAGTATATAATAGAATATAATCGTATATAATAGTTTATAATAGTATATAATAGTTTATAATAGTATATAATAGTATATAATAGTATATCATAGTACATAAAATATAATATATTTGATATATAACATATAGTTAATACATACATACTGTACATAGGTGTATATATATATATATTAAATCAAATGTGCAGATTCATCTCAGGAGTGCAAAGGTAGCAAGGGCAATCTTCGGTTTTGGTCATCGCTCGCCGGGCTCGGTGTCTGCAAGATGCTGAAAGATGGGAAAATGCAAAGTGACACCGTGCTATCTTTGACAAAGACCGTGCTACAGCAGTATGAGCTACAGCTAATAATATCTGATAATGGTAAATATAATGGTATATAGATATAATCATGTATATATATATATATTTTTATGAATGGATATACTCTCAGTGTCTGTTTTTATTATACTATATTAGTCTCTTTCACTTCAACAAACTGGCGCCAAAACTGCAGTCAATTGGAAACAGCGATCTTTTTTCGCCAGACCCAAGTTCTGCGGCGATTGCTTTGGCGTAGCAGCTACCTGCACAATGACTGGAAATCAATGCACTTATGCAATAGCGCACAGATGCGCACAGTTGCAAACCAGGCTCAACGCTCTCAAATTTTGAGATCATTCAACAATGTGTGTTTGTCTGAAAATTGAGGGGAAAACCCCAATTCCAATGGATTATGATCATGTTCTCTATTAAAATGGCTTTTCAGACAAACCAATGTCTAGTAAGTCACAGTAAGTCTACATGAGTCGCACCAAGGATCCACCGGGCCTCTGCACGTGAGCTCCATACTCTGGTCTGTTGGGGCTGACCTGCGGCCACCAATTCCGTGGGCTTAGCCTCATTTCCCCAGATCTCAGATAACTCCATTATTTGCTGTCCAAGAAAAGCACCGAATACTATTAAATACTCGTGGATTTCAATGATTTCAATGGCAACACTGCCTCGCCTTCACTGCTCTCACTATGTGCCACGCTGCTGCTTTCGCCTGACATATCATGACAACAAGCAACCAGTAAGCATGAAAACGGATCTGAGTTCTTGTGCACGCGTGCATCTTGGTCAAATGCAGAACATGGTAGCTGATAGACCGACTTCTACTTTCAAATACAACATCATGTAAATGTGCAGAATCATTTTCTCTGCAATCTGTACGTAGACAGAGTGGGTTCAAGGAAACGCAAGGCAGCACGGGTACAGTACAAGGAACTGAGACAATGCCAAATGCAAACAACGGCTTTGGTACGATGGGTGGATGCACTCAGGCACCACAATAATGATCCCAACAATATGTGTGTAAGCAAGCGCTTACCTTTGTAGATGCGAGTGAGCGAACGAACGAACGAACGAACGAACAAGCGAGCGAGCGAGCAAGCGAGCAAGCAAGCAGGCAAACAAACAAACAAACAAACAAACAACAAGAAAACAAACAAACACTTGCACCAGTTCCGGATCTAACAAATATGGCAGTGCAGAACTCTACTCACTCTACTCATCGACGGTCTAATCCTGTATTGATCCTTATCTACTGTATCTGCGTGTGTCAACAGTGTGGATGCAAAGGAAAACCTCCCCAGCTGATTGCTTTAAGTGACGCCGAGTGAGACTTGCCATTGTTGCCATGTTTGATTGAAACTACGAGTAACAACTTGAAGCGAACCAAGACATGAACTGAAACATATGATCAGGAACTGTAGAGTCAGTAGTCTGCATTGACAATCTGGCGCCTGGTTCATTTGGGTCTGAATCTGGTCCATCCGCTTGAATCTCAAGAATGGACCCCTGCCAAGATGGAACGGCGATGAACAACGCATGTCATCCAGTCAACTGTACATCACTGCAATGACCACAGGTCATCCATGCAATCTCAAACAGAAGTGACCACAGTATCGAAGATCGTCTCCAACATGGATGTTACTTCGAGTCTTCGAAGACTCTTTGGCTCTTGTCATTTTAAGAATGATCCCAAATACTCTTCCATTATTATATATTATATAATATAAATGATCCAAAATTATGAATTTCCGTAATTATTTCATGATTAGGCTGATTGGACTATC